CCAGGAGGTAGTGGAGGAGGTAGAGCTGCCTGACTTGGGACAAGCAGGAGGCGGGGTGCATGCTGCCTGGCTTCTTCAAGGACGATGCCATACACTTGTCCCTCGACGATGCGCTGAGGGCCGCGCCTCTGGCCTTCCGTAGCGACAACGAGCACAACATCTATCTCGAAGATGAAGAAGATGAAGAGAAAGCAAATCCTCCAGAGACCACCACAAGCGCTTCCCAAGGTTGTATTATTGTGTGCAGCTGCGTGGCGTGCGTGGCATGGTGTCACCTGTCTGACAGGCAATGGCCAGGCGCGACGAAGCGCGATGTGCTGCAGCGAGCCCAGCACTCGTCGAAGACGTGCGTGACCTACGACCAGGTGTCGCCGGCCAGCCCCCTGCACGCCCTCTACAACTGGGACCCGCTGTTGGATTTCCTCGCCGCGGTGCTGAGCAAGGAGCAGCTCCATCGCACGGCCGACCGGCTCGGCGCGCTCAACGTCCACATCTACCACCAAGGCGACGAGCTCGGATGGCACTTCGATCGGTGACGCCAACCACGCTAGAGGGTGAATCCCCTCAAACGTTGGCTGATGATGACTTGCGCTTGCCTTCTTCTTCTTCTTTTTACAGGGGAGAGTTTGCAGTATCTCTGTTGCTGCAGTCCTCGGCCGAGAGTGGGGCGAGCGACGAGGGTGGTGGCCACTTCGAGTACGCTCCGCATCTCCGATCCGCTGGTACGCAAGTGAGTGCACCTGTGTTCTCCTGTTTCATGAAAGTCTCTCCTGGCCCACTCAGTTCTATGAATGCCCACATTCGTTGTGAAGATGATCAAAACTATGTTGATGTGATTGGGGTGCTTGACGCGGCCGAGGAGGACAAGAGCACCACGTCAACGGGAGGGCGCATTCGTCGCTTGAACATCACGCCCGGGGCTCTGGTCTTCTTCTGTGGCAGGTGCGAGTTGGCCGACCCTCCATGGAGGCATGTCGTGGAGGGAAGCTGACGCCCTGGTGTGCAGGCATTCACTGCATCGAGTAACGAAGGTGACGGGAGACACACCGAGGGTGATGGCCATCCTCTCCTTCGAGACCAGGCCCGGCGTAGAGCTCAACGACTACACACGTCTCAAGTTCTTCGGCCGCACGGGCTAGCGCACGCCAACCACTGATCTGTAATTGTATTGCCTAGGCCCCTATATGGGGCTCTGGTTCTTCTTGAAAAGGTGCCACCTCCACGATGTAATCCTCTCAAGCTCACGCCAGTAGCAACTCACGCTGGACTTCCGCTGATGCCACGGCTTGCATTTTCTTCTTGAATTATAAGTGACGTGGCCGCCAAGCAAAACAATTAAAAAAACTCAATTCGCATCGAACGCCACAGTGGAGCGATCACTCGATCAATTGCTCTCTCCTTCTCGCTCACCTGGTGTGCAAAAATCTCCTTCGGTGAGTGTGCACGCCTGCCGCTCCATTTCCAATTACGACACAAATCCATCATCCTTCCCTCGCACATTCTTCCCCCTAACTTTGTGCCCTCTCATCCAGTTCGCGACTCGCAGAGACGGAGGACTTG